TTTTTTTTTTTGGCGGAGGTGGGGGGGCACTCTCCACAATTCCTGGGGGACAGCCCAAAGAGCCAGTCTGGTCTCTGGTCACCACTGTGAGACAATTTCACTGGTAGTAAATCCTTTGGGTTGTTTCCCACAGAACTATCATGCCCCATTGGACCAAGGAGAAATTTTGTGCACTTTGCCACAGGAAAGAAAGTGGTAGTGTTCTTCACAAAGACTCTCAGCCTCCGCGGGTTGCTGGGGGCTTTCTGGATTTAGTTTGTTAATCCAGCATTTCTCCCATAGCCTTGTCATTTAAAGAGTTATTTCCAGTCCATAGAGACAGAATGGACCTGAATAAAAATTACAAAACCAAGCCCTTTATTAGATACTTAACAAGTTAGCCTTAAAAATTTGAAAACATCTTGAAAAAATGTCACAATCCCATACCTGTGTTTAAAGTGGGAAGTCTCCCTGCCAGTCTCAATGATCTTCTTCTGCAACATGGCTCTGAGCTATGGGAGAAAAATACATCCACACCTGTCCTTCCTGGCTGACTTTACATAAAAGGAAAGACAAAATTGTATCCAGTGGTCACAATGTTTCTTCTCAAGAGAAGTGATCACAAGAAGACAACACATCAAAGAATATATTATCAGAGATTCCAAGGGCCATTATAACTGCCTCTGGGAGTGAAGAATTCTGCAAACTTCGGGCAGATAGAATGTTACTTGGTGTCAGAATGAGTGTCGTTTATCTTTGCCTGTGAGTTCCGACTGCTTTCATCAGCTAAATCACAGTACTGAACACAGTTCTAAATATTCTGCCTATGTTGCCACTACCCTAGCAGCTAAACCCTAATGGGTAAGAAAGACTCTTATAAAACCAAGGAAAATGAAACAAAACAGTGGCAGAATTACTACTGTATGTTAATTTTATTGAAATGTTGTTCATAGGTATAAATGACTACTCATAAGTATTATATTGCTGAATAATGTTGGCCAAGCATTTAACTAAAGTTGCTGTTTAAAAGTTTGCTAAATGATTTGTCAGTTATACCTCAATGAAGCTAGGGGGGAAAACAAAAAAATTAAATTAAAACCTTTGTTAAGGGGGAGGGTATAGTTCAGTGGTAGTGTGCATGCTTAGCATGTACAAGGTCCTGGGTTCCATCCTCAGTATCTCGTTAAAAAATAAATAAACCTAATCACTGCCTCAAAAAACAAATAAAAACAAACAAACAAAAAAGAATATTTTTAAAAACCTAGTTAAATGTACCATCAATATGTTCTGTATTAAAGTATAACAAAATCACACATTTCAAATAATCCTCTGGCAATGGATGAACATCAAAGTGTTTCCCTACAAAGGACTTGCCCCCGGAGTACCCCCATGTGTCCTGAACATGAACCCCATAGAAGAGGTGAAGACTTGAATGACCTCTCAGCCTGTGTAAGGCTGGTGTCAGCCTCCCTTGCGTGGGACTCCTGAAGCGCCTCTTCCCATCCTAGCAGTTCTGCTGGATAAAGAAGGCTGCAGATGGTGAGGGGTAGGAAGCCTGGGTCAGCAGTCAGCGACTCCATCTAACCAGCCATCTGGGATGCTTCAGCAGTCCTGGGCCTGTGGAGCGCCGCTGTCTACACCAGGCGGAGGCTCCGATTGGGGTGCCACCAGCAGTAGTTGGAGCTGGACAAGGTCCCTCTGTGAAACTTCCGGGCTCCCAGGACAGGACCTTCGTCCAGCCCCCTGAGGACCGGTTCAGGCTTCCTGGGACACCCTCTCAAATTCCTTTTTCTTGACCAGGACTTGGTCTCCCTTCTGGTCCCACACTGATACCTTCCACTGCATGGGAGGTTCCTGGGCTATTGCAGGCCTGCTGCAAACCTGGGGGAGGGCAGAGGGCAAGTGAGGCGAAGGCTGGGTCATGGCCACGAGCCTCCATCTGGCTGTTCATTCTGGCGTCCCATCAGCCTTTCTTTTCTGAACCAGTCACTGTGCCTTCTTCGTGCCCCCAAGATCACTGCCATCCAGATTCTGCAAAATTCCAGGGCGTCCTTGTCATCTACACCCTCAAGAACGCCTGCCTGGACTTGGAGACAAGGGGTGCGAATGTCCACGCAGCTGGGAGTCACCCAGACTAGATGGGGAGGTGTCTTTAGTGCACAGAATGTGCATGTGAGGAAATTAGGGATTTTCTCGAGGCCTCTGGATAAGACTGTGTCCCTAGGAAGTGGGAGGAGCTCCCTTGGGGAAAGCCCCCACTCACAACTCACAGGAAAGGTTTGAGCCGACAGTGAAGACGTCCGGGGTGCGTGGCTTCCCACCTCTTTCCGGGAAGTGGACTAGGACTTCCTCTCTTGCTCACCTGTGAGTCTCTGACCAAGCCATTGGCCCTCTCTGGGCCTCCTCAGGGGAGATCGGACCTCCTGAGGAGGTTCACAGGCCTGGTAGTCGGTGGTCGGAAGGGCTGAGGCAGCAGAGCATCGCTGCGGATTCTTGGGCCCACGTGGCCCAGGTCTGGAGCGCGCACAGGCCGAGTGGAGATGGAGGCTGCTGAAGGCGGAGGTTCCACTGCCTTCAAGGGCGGAAAGAACCGAGGTGCTTCAGCACCGAGGTCTGGACAGCGCCCTTCTTGCGGGCGGGAGGCGCCCGAAAAGGAGGTGTCCCCATCCCCTCTCCCAGAGCTTGGGTCTGGAGGCGAGGGGGAGGGAGCCGGCCCCGCTGTGCTGACCCGACAGGGACAGACCACAGACAGTTGGAGACGGTGGACAAGCATGACCCCGGTAGAGCTATCCCAGAGCAGCATGCCAGGCCCGACCCTTGGGCAACCCCACTCCTGTGCAGGTAAGAGCGCAGCCTCATCTCCACTCCAATCCTGCCCTTCCACTGCTCAAGGGCAACACAATGTTAAAACTGGAATTTCTGCTAAGAATCTAAGACAGTAGACATCAGAAACGCGAGTGAGTTGTGAGGCAGGCCACCACGCAGAATTGGGAAAAAAAAAACTCAAAACAAAACCCCCCAAAAAACCGTAGGGCCAAGAACCTGCCAGAGGACTGCTAAGTCCCTCACCTATATCAAAGTGATCCTAGGAGCGACTGAAGACATTTCTATACTTTTGGAAAGAGCTTCACAGGAACGATGGTGAGGAGGTTACTTGTTCCATTGTTCAAACCTAGTGAGAGAGGTTTTCAGAGGCCAGGTGGACAGCTTGATATGTGTCCCCTGGGGTCTGGGGACTCAGTGGCCTAATGTATGTATTCGCTCAAAAAAACTAAGGAGCAAGAGAGGCCTGACTAGCTGCTCATGGTCAAGTTGAAAGAGGCATTTGTACACTTTTTAATGCACAAATTTGGGGGCAACAGACGCATGAATTCTTCCCATGGTCTGGACATGATCTGCATGCATGAGAGGTGGGGGAGGTCCTCTCAGGCACTCTCCGTCAGAGGGGCTGCCTGGAGGGCTGATCACGTCTCCCAGAAGACAGTCCTAGATGTTGCTCCAGGAGAGGGCAACCAGCTGAAGTAAGAATATTTTCACCAGGGCTAAGTGAAATTCAGGAGAGGGGTCCTCAGCATTGAGGGAGTCTCTCAAAATTCCACCAAAATTCCAGAGAGTAGGATGCCTGCTGATGACACTGCTGACCATGGAGACTTTCCCTGCACCCTTGTTTATCTTCCGTCTGTGGGTGCAGACCCAGAAGTGCAAGGCCAGTCAATTCATGTTCAGAGATTTGACTATTACATAGGATGGCTGTCATAGTCACAGCCTGGGGGAGCATTTCTTATCTCAAAGTGACCAGAAAAGTAATGGAATTGCCCCTCACCCTATTCCCTCCCCTTCACTCTCTGTCCATGAAAAGGAGAACTAGAAACTGAATATTCCTTTTAAAGAGATAATAGGAAACAAAGTCACTTTATGATCTCAGCTCAACTGTTGTACATACTCAGACCTTTCCAATCCAGATTCCTTGGAGACAAAATGTAGCTGGCTCTGCATCTGTCAGGAGAGCATCTCTCTGGCCAAGTGTTGGTCCCAGGGCCTACCTGGCTGGAGATAAGGAAACGTTGAGCGACAATGGGCCAACAAAATATATCAAATACTGTGTCTGCAGCAAGGCTGGTCTGTCTTTTAATTTTACCTTCCTTTTAAAATGAAGCAATACAACCAGTTTGGCGTGGAGCAGGAATGTACAAATAGAACAGAATAATCTATAGGAATTTTAAAAATTTAAAAATATCTGATGCATTGGCGCAGGTGGGCTAAACCTTTGAAATTAAGTGTAAGGCAATTTTTCTATCCTTTTCTTTCTCCTCATCCCTACTTTTTCTTTCTAAGAAGTGACACTTTGCCAACAAAAAATACTCTTGCCCCAGTTTTTCTAAAAATGTATGCTGC